ATAGAAAAGTTGCAAAAATAGCATAACAACTCATCTACCTTAGTATTAGCATCTTATATAGCCATGAGCAATTATCAAAATTAAGAAACTAATATTAACCCAATACTATTAACTAAACTACAGACTTAATCTGGAATTCACCAGTTTTCCCAACTACTACACTTTTCTCTGTTCCAGCATCTAATCCAGGATTCCATATTACCTTAGTTGATGTATCTCTCTAATCTGTGAGAGTTCCCCAATCTTTTCTTGTCCTTCAGGACCTGAACAGCTTTGAAGAGTATTGTAAGTTGTTTTGGAGAATGTCTCTCCCTTTACTTTGTCTGATGTTCCCTCCAGATTTGAATGAGGTTATACATTGTTGCGAAGGGCACCACAGAGACAGAGTGCCCTTCTCAGTGCATGGTATGGGGGAGTCCATGACACTGATATTTCTTTTTATTGCTGATATTAACCCTGATGGCTTGGTTAAAGTGGTGTCTGCCAAGTCTTTCCACTATAAAGTTATTCTTTTTCCCCTTGTTTCAATAATTAAAAAATACCAGGCTCAGGCTTCCCTCGTGGTGCAGTGGTTAAGAATCCACCTGCCAATGCAGGGGACACGGGTTCGAGCCCTGGTCCAGGAAGATCCCAAATGCTGCAGAGCAACTAAGCCCATGTGCCACAACTACTGAGCCCGCACTCTAGAGCCTGCGATCCACAACTACTGAGCCCGTGTGCCACAACTACTGAAGCCCGTGTGCCTAGAGTCTGTGCTCTGCAACAAGAGAAGCCACTGAAACGAGAAGCCCTCACACCACAACAAAGAGTAGCCCCTGCTCCCCGCAACTAGAGAAAGCCCGCGCGCAGCAATGAAGGCCCAACGCAGCCAAAAATAAAACAAACAAACAAACAAAAAATATTTTAAAAAAATACCGGGCTCAGGGCAGGAGGGAAGAGGATTCCTTGAGACTGTGCAAATATCCTGCTTCTCCTCAAACTGTTGCCCATTAATTTCAGCATTCATTGATCGATCTTGCCCACAACAATTATTATTTTGGTGCTCTAATGGTAGATTTCTATTTCTCTCATTCACCCTACAATAATTAATTGGAATTCTTCTACAAGGAAGAGCTGCCTCTTCTCCCCCTTTTATTTATTTATGCAGTTATTTATTTATATCAGTATAGTCTCATTGATATTTATTTCATTCTATGGATTATAATCCAATGCTATTGTTATCTTTTTTAATTCATTAATTAATTATTGGCTGCATTGGGTCTTTGTTGCTGCACATGGGCTTTCTCTAGTTGCAATGAGTGAAGGCTACTCTTCGTTGCCAGTGCATGGGCTTCTCGTTGCAGTGGCTTCTCTTGTTGCAGAGCACAGGCTCTAGGCACACAGGCTTCAGTAGTTGTGGCACACGGGCTCAGTAGTTGTGGCTCACAGGCTCTAGAGCGCAGGCTTAGTAGTTGTGGGGCATGGGCTTAGTTGCTCCGTGGCATTTGGGAATTTCCCGGACCAGGGCTAGAACCCATGTCCCCTGAATTGGCAGGAGGATTCTTATCCACTATGCCACCAGGGAAGCCCCCTGTCATTTGTTTTTGAACTCCAATTGTTCCAGTTTGGATCATTGGCAGTTCTTTCACATCAGCTCTGTGCCTTTCCTAGTGCCCTACATTTTGTTTTTTGAGTAATTTTTTACTTCCTGGTGCCACAAGATGCTCCAAGCTCACCTTGTGATTTCACTACCCTAGCCCAAGAATCAGCCTTTTCTGCAAGGAGCCCTTCTTCCTTTTATTAGAGCATGGTATTTGAAACCACAATCTGAAGGCTAGGTGTACTTATTACTACAGTGGTGTCATTGCCTCTAAGTCATCTCAGCAGGTGGGACTTGGAAATATATGTATACTTACTAACCCCCCACCCTAATACACACACACACACACACACACACACCCCTTATATTTATTTCTGTATTTATCTATGTATATTAAAAAACATGGGTTCATATTGATACCCCTGATTCTAATTCTAAAGACTTTGCTTAATATTTTATCCAGTATCTCCCCAACGAGAGGGTCAAGAGGAATGAAAAGGCTTATGCATTTAAATGGTGTCCAGCTATTGTGTAGACTAAGGGTCAGCAAACTATGGCTGACTGCCTATTTTTGTGAAATACTTTCACTGGAAAAAAGTTTTGTTTTTTGTTTGTTTGGTTTTTTTTTTTTTTTTTT